GCCACCGCCACCATCACCACCACCGCCTCTCCACGATACGATTATTGGTGCTGAATAATTAACATGGTGTATCCTGGTTCATCAGCGGGCGAAATGAGGTCAAACCGGTTTTTGTTAAAGGTTTGATTGCCCCTCCTGGACTTAGGGGAAGGGGATGCTCACGCGGCCGGGGAGCGTCTTCCCCTTGTACCGCGTGGTGGGAGGAAATTTACGGTCCCCCCGCCCCCGCAATAAGAAACTTACGCGGAATTCATTCTCGCATTCAGGCAAGGGTCGTCATGGACGGACGCGTCCGACCGGGCAGCACAAGGGAATAAGGACGCGAGAGGCGGTGAACGCCAGCGAAAGGCCATGGAGCACTGTGCGCCAGAGCCTACGCTGCATTGTGATTGCTTTATCTTGGTCTATTTTTTATTGCTCAATGGAAAAAAAGAATAATGAATGCAGTGTCTGACGTGCGGAGGTCTTCATTAACAATTCTACTACTTTTCTTTTCGCAAGGATTAACCAGAAATGCATAAAAGAAATGCCTAGACAACTATTTAAACACAAATTAATAGTAGTCTACTTCATTACTCATTTCACTTTCTGCAAAACTAGCATACAATTTTTGGATAAGGAAAAAGATCGTTACTGTATTTCTTCTTTATTAAGAAATTATATAATACGAGTACCTGAAAAATTGTCACTGGCACAAGACATGTGATTTTTTAATTATATCACAGAGGATCATACTCCAAATACTACTATATGCAAGTTTTGAAACAAGTTCACACCTAAAATAAGTTTGTCACGAACATGTTAAAACAGTTAATTTCTTTCTTATTTTTAAATCGAATTTCAATAAATTACTATTTCTTTAATTAGAGGCTGTTTTCCAGCAACATTAAATGAAATAAGACACAAGTACCCATTTCTCTTTGATCCGCTACGAAAATACCAAAATGGTCAAGAAATACACTATCACATCATATTTCAGTGAAACATTGCAAACATTTTATGAAATTCAAAAACAAATAATAATTGAGTTTGTCACTATAGTTAACATTGTTAGTTGAACTGGTTCGTTGGAATTAATCGTCTGAATTTACTGACAATGCTTGTCATCTAAGGCATATATGTTTCGTCAGAAACCAGCAAATGATGATATTCAAGGCTCTGCTAGGCAAGAAATACCCATCACTCTACATATCCTCACCAAAATTAGGAAAGAGGCATATAAACCCCAGTAGCGGCAGGAACGTCGGGGCTGCGAGAAGACACTGCCACCTGAAGAGCGGAGTGATTCATTGATTAACGGTTTCGGGCGTGTCAACCGCTAAGGTCTTTGGTCCCATACGTGTAGTGCATTGTTTCGCGAGAGGTGGCGATAATGATCTTCTTTCTCTTTTGGATGGCGATATCCGGCGCCGACCAACACGATTAGCGGGGTTCTCCTCAACCAGCCATCTCCCACCTGCGGGGCACCGTTCCAGAAGGGACAAGGCCTAACCTCCCGACTGATCTCCCAGCATAGATGGCAGTGACGTTCATGTCAGTGGGTGAGTAAGAGGTGATGGTAGAACACGGAAAGATAGCGCGTGATCCGTGGCCCGTTTGTTAGGGTGTACCTCAGGCATTATTCTCCTGGTATTAATCGTTGAAACTACAGAAAACTACCGATCAGAGCAGCCGGCCACTAGACTTTTACTTCATCTGAATTCTATCTAGCTATGTAGCTACTGTCGAAAATCCTTGCACCGACAGGACTCGAACCCTAGAACACCCCGGGTACAACCACAGCTGAAACGTCAATAGAAGCCCTGAGCCACCTAAGCCGGTGTGATGGAAGGAGGCGG